ATTGAAAGCAATATAACTGTCACTGTATTTAAGACAATAGTCCACACAATGAGATACAACACATTTACACCACATTTTGTGTTTATATTAAGTATGTATTCATTAAATAAAAGCAACGCTCAGTGGATAGAGTTTAAGGACACAGTTATGGGCACCGAATGTCTCATTAAAATCACACCCAAACTCAAAGCCGATTGTCTTCAGACCTATGACAACAAACTCGCCGCCCGTCCCAAACAGGACAGGGATCAGAAGGTATGTGACAATACCATCGCTTGTACGATAAGCATAATAACCAAGATTATTAACCAAGATTGCTTGAATATGATTACCATCAGGTGCTTTGTTGCGCGTATTTTGCGCTCCAGTCCTGTGTACTGAAGATCGCGGAGAATGAGTGCAATAATAATGAAGAAGCAGAAGGAGTGGCCAAAAGTTTCCTCAAAACAATCAATCGTAGCATTACTTCAGATGATTGTATTGATTACGGATTCACGGCGTGTATCGATTCGAGCATCAAATGGATTCTTGTGGCCATCGGTGGTGCGCTCGCACTCGTCATCATTTTGCTCGTGACGACCATTTGTTGGCTATTGTTATCGAGAAAGCGAAAGTAGGGGCCGTCTTGTCTAATGGTGTACAGAATATTTAATTTTAATAAATTAATACCATGTTTGTAATTATTGTTATCATAGTAACAAACATGATTTACCATGATTAACATGTTAATTTAATAATAGAAAATTTTAAATTAAATTAACGTAATTATCTTTTGAATAATTACTATAACCATAATATTTTTGTTTGTTAATATAAATATTTAAATAAAAACGTATATTAAGTTATAATAATTATACTTAATTTAAGTTGTTATTTATAATTGTAATATTGGATACATTTCATCGACAACAAACAAACATGATAACATAGAACTTGTATTTTTATTGCAATTAAAATAAAAATTCAGGTACGTGATTGTAAAACGAGATAAACAAATGTACTAATAACGCCCAAGATCATTATTATTAAATATATTTGGTACAGTTAATATTCCATATCTCGAACCCTCTGTAACTCAAAATCCTCTATAACTCAAACTATTTTCAAAGTCCCGATTCACTCTTATAGACACCCCATTATAGAAAACCTCCACAACTCGAACCTCTGTATTCCGAAATGGAAACTATTTTCACAAACCCAATACTTTTCACTGAACCTCCACTACTCGAATTTTTTACTCAATTGTAAAATATGTATATTTTATACAAATTTAATGTTTGTGATCTAAAAGTGACCATTTATTATCTAATTGTTTTATAAATTGTAATTTTAATTCTAATTAATTTTGATTGAAACAATTTTTTCATAAAGTGATGCATAGCAGCACAACATTGTCAATTAAAACAGAATCCTCTATAACTCGAACTTTTTTTTGTAAACAATTCAATATTTTTCTATAACTCGAACTTTCTATAACTCGAAAACCTCTTTAACTCGAACAAACATTTGTGCCCCGACCCGTTCGAGATCGGGAGGTTTAACTGTAGTAATTATTGTGTCAATGTTTAACCAATTTTATTTATTTCACTATCATTTTAAGTAATTTAAATGTAATATTTTATTTAATCATAATTCATGATTGTATGAATACGTTCTAGAAATAGTTATTAGGAAATAGTTTATTATACTTACTATAATTAATATAAGTGAAATTGTCTTTTTATATAATGCATGAATCAAATACTGTTGATCTTAAGTTTTGTACATGTAACTTTATTTCTATTAAAACGAGAAATATAATTTACTTATTGACGTATACCAACATGATTTAACACTATTTAATTTTGAGTAAACAAAATGCTAATTTAGTAAAATAATTATTAACCATAATCCATATGTGAAGATTGGCCGACCCCCTCCCCTCAAGTGCGAATGTAATTTGTGAACGCCCCCTTACAATCTTGATTGTTGTGTTGATTGTATTCAAAGCAATATAACTGTATTTAAGACAATAGTGAACACAATTATCACACACAATGAGATTCATCACATGTTCACCACTTTTTGTGTTTATATTAAGTATGTATTCATTAAATAAATGCAACGCTCAGTGGAAGGAGTTTAGGAAATCAGTGTTGGGCACCGGATGTCTCACCACAATCACACCCAAACTCACCACCGATTGTCTTCAGGTCTATGACAACAAACTCAACGCCAGACCCAAACAGGACAGGGATCAGAAGGTATGTCAGACAATACCATCGCACATGTATGATAAGCATAATAACCAAGATTACGTGATTATGATTACCATCAGGTGCTGTGCTGTGCGTATCGGTCGCTCGAGTCCTGTGTACTGAAGATCGCAGAGAAAGAGTGCAATAAAGAGGGAGAAGGAGTGGCCAAAAGTTTCCTCATAACAATCAATCGTAGCATTACTTCAGATGATTGTATTGATTACGGACTCATGGCGTGTATCGCATGGAGTTATGTGGCCATCGGTGGTGCGCTCGCACTCGTCATACTTTTGCTACTGTCGTCCATTTGTTGGCTATTGGTGTCGATGAAGCGAATATTTACTTAAATACGTATATTATAATAATTTTACATAAATATTGGCATTAATAATTGTAATATTGGATACATATTAAAATCATTTTATGGACAACAAACAAACATGATAATTTTCAAATGATATTTATATTTAAATTATATTAATATTATGATTGGATTGAGTGATGGATAGGAAGACCTGTTGTAGTGAAGAGTTTGACACCAAATAGTCCTCTAAATTGAGTTCACATTTTAATGTTTGCAATGAATTGAAAATTTGTGATAACTTTATGTCACTATTAATGTGATAATAAATGAGACCAAAATTATTGTATATTTCGTTACAATTTTGACCAAACATTTCATTCATCCGATTCTGAAGTATTTCAATAAAGTCTTCGTTTGAATCTCTATTCACTTTAACAATGATATCA